ATTGTTCTACATCTGGACATCCTATTGTTTCATGTATGGCCATTAGCTTATACCCGTAGATAGGTAGCTTAGGTAAGATAGCCCGCTGTACATGTATATAAGACCAGCATGTAGAGGATGAAACCTCAGATTGTTTCTCCTCGTCTACTACCCAGTCGACTACTGAGCCTCACCAGCTCCATTATATTTTCTATCACATTTTCCAGATGCTTGCTGAGCTACCAGTGAGTGTTAAGGCTCTCAAGCCTCCTTTGAGATTTGGGGGATCAGGACGGCACGTTCCACATAACCTGTCCTTTTTAGTCTCTTTGATCTCTTGTCCAGCGTCGCTGTGACATTAGAAACAATCTGACATTTTTCATGCCCCTGCTTAGTGTTTAACACAAGCAGCTGCATATTTTCAGTGCAAGCAGTTTCAGCCGTAGCGCGCGGTTTTTTCTCCACATCTTCCAACTCGACCTCTACCAGGCGTGAGCCTCTGCAAGACACTGAGCAGCCCAAGGCAGCAAAGCGCAAGGCAGAAGATCCTCAAGCTGGCAACAAGCGTCGCCTTACAAACAAGGAGTGAGGGAGACTCCTTACCATAGCATCACTAGGAACTTCGTCCACAGACAGGCAGCATGCAGTGGCCAGGGTACTGGACACTATGCACATTAAAGTTCAAGGCCTCATTTGCCGCGAACGCAGTCACACCCCACCACTTGAACGCTACAAGCTCAGAGCCAGATGCCTTACCACAGGCAGATGCAAGCCCAGGACGCGACCCGAAATCATAACCAGTAACACCATCCCTCCTGTTATCATTGCCCCACAGCCAGTACGACCCATTCCAGACTTTATAAAAATCAGCGCACGGCCCATTTGACCACTTCCATCCAGAGTCAGATCAACGCCCCACATTGAAACCCTACAAAAGCAGGTATCTGCTACCCGCTTCAGGTTGCAGCTGATATTAGGAGCATTTTGGGAAAGGATCGACCAGGATAGACGAAAGAAGATACAACTCCTTGCATCGGAGTTAGACAAGGTCTGCGCAGACCTTTACACAGGAACTCACGAATATATGTTCGTCGAGAAATAGGTCATCAACACGTGCTGCCTGGAGATAGGCAGGATCAATTTCAAGGAGATAGGAAAGCAACAGAGGTTGAACGAGATCGTTAAAGGGCTGTGCAAAGTCAAGGACAAGAAGTACCTAGGCTTTATTTTCAATTAGTTATATCTGTACCTATAATGTCGGAATCAGGACGCGCACAAATGTCTACATTTGCACAATGTATGCAGGACATAATGCGTCCAAACATTGAGGCACACGATGGGAGCACACCTCGTGCGTCACGACAAGCATCTCCAGAGTTAGCTCCACAAGACTCTGCGTCACAAATCGGAGGACAATCATCCCCGACTCCATCACTCCTCCCGGCATACATCCCCCCTGCATGATCATATGACGGACAACAATACGAGCATCTCGAAGAGGCTATCAGACAGTCTGCACCCAGCGAAGTACCCGACAACATTCGCGAATGGGTAATCATTGTCATGAAGTCTCTGGTCGATAATGAACTCAAGAAAATGTACAATGTGCTTGAAGACAAGATGTATGAGCACAAGAGGATTCTTGAGGCCTCAATTGCATCAGCTCAAACAGAGCGACGACTGAAGGAGGCAGTACTCAAGTCCGAGAACGAGAAACTCTCGGACAGAATCAAGGCCCAGGATGCACACATGGTGGTCCTCAACGATGAACTTGCAGGCACGCAGGGAGCAATGCTGGACATGGGGAAAAGAATGATGGAAGTAGCCAGTGAGAACACCAAGCTGTGCCATGAGTTAGCTTCACTCAAAGCAAGCGGCGTTGCAACGACGCAAGGTCATACATCCGGCACGGTCCAATCATAACACCCTCGCATCAAAATCGCCGAACCTTCACACTACTCGGGCAAAGGAAGTCTGGAGGACTGGCTCCAACAACTCAGCATATGGATGCGATGGAACGAGATCAACGATGATGAGCATAAGATTACCATGGCCCTGCTGCACCTAGAAGGAGGTGCTTTCACATATATGTCCGAATACGCAACAAAGGCAGCAGCATGGCAGGCACTTGGTACTTGGGAAGACTTCGTCGACATGCTCAAGGTGAACTACAGGACACTCGACCCAGACAAGGACGCGCAACAACACTTGAAGGAGATCTGCGCGAAGACCTACCCTACAATGGTCTCCTTCGCAGAACAATTCTGTCAATGGGCCACTAAGACCAACTTAGGGCACACTGCGCTCATCGGTTACATCGCGGAACATTGTAGCAAGGACGTACGACAGGCAATGGTCACTTGAAACAGCCTAGGGATCCCCAATCCTATCACATGGGCCGAGTATCTCGACCTCTGCCTATAACTCAAATCGAAGTTCAGGGCTGACAAGGCACGACAGCGCGGAACGGCAATGACACCATCATCACAACCACCAAGAGTCCAAAAGGATCCCAACACCATGGACGTGGACCATGTGTCCCAACTTAACAAGGAACAAGAAGGCTGGCTGGAGAGAAAGCTCTGTGTACGATGTGGAAAACATCCCTTCATATTCAAGCAGAGATTCCCCGACCCCAAATACAAAGGCAAGCTAGAGATGCCTAGGCGGGGACAAGTAACAAGGGCAGTATCGACACCAGCGGCATCAAGCAGTTCCGATGATGGCAAGGCAAGGGAGGAAGCAGTTCGTGCATTCCTCGCCAGCTACGACGTGAAGGGAAAAGATCAGGAGGCAGAACCGGAATCAGCTGTCAAAGCAGCTAGGATCACGGAGGTGGAGAATGATGAGGATTTTCTTTGGCGGGTTCTCTGAGGTCTGGCCAGAGTTCCCATAGACAATGTAACAGTACCTACTCGATCTCGCATGTACCAATTTCAGATTTTTTATATATTGCATCAACTGGTTCATCAAAACATGTGATCGATTTACCTGTTCACCTCAAACAGGGAGAAAGGGAAGTCCAGACTGAGGCGCTCCTCGACTCAGGAGCATATTCTTGTTACATCAACCCATGGCTGGTTGATCGGTTAAATCTTGCTACGATCTTTCTCGAGAAAGAGATCAGGGTTTATAACGCAGATGCATCTCACAACAAGGGTGAAACCATTAAGAAAAGGGTTCTTCTAAGTATAACCATCAGAAATCATACAAGTAGACAGAGCCTTCTTGTCACCGACATAGGACACAAAGATGTTATACTAGGTATGAGCTTCCTCAAGGAGCATAATCCCGAGATGGATTGGGAAAGGCTTAATATCGAGTTCACCCAGTGCCCACAATGATGTGCACCCTCACAGGTAGCAGTCCAGGAGGAGGACCTGGAAGACACAAACATCCCCCACATCGAAGACCTGATGGAGTTTGTCGGTTTCCAGGAATTAGGTGACAACTGGAACGACATGGACAGCTTCATTAGATGGGTGTCATTATCAGAAGACCCTGACGTGCAGACCGTAGTGTCACTTATCATGGGTCTTGACACCAAGAGGAATCAGGATAGAGCGCCGCAAAAAGGAGAACAGGACAAAGACTACTGGTCAGCCTATGTCCCCAAACACTTTCACGAGTATGGCGATGTGTTCTCCAAGAAGCAGTCGAAATGAATGCCCACAAGAAAGCCCTATGATCATCCCATCAAACTTGTTCCAGAGGCATCGTTACCATGCCCAGCAAAGTTATATCCTATGAACCTACAGGAAAGGAATTTGCTCGACACGTGGATAGACCAAGAGTTGGCCAAAGGATACATCAAGAGATCACGGAGTCCGACAGCAGCACCCGTTTTCTTCGTCAAAAAGAAAGACAGGTCACTGAGGCTAGTACAAGACTACAGAAACCTCAACGCAGTAACAAAGAAGAACAAGTTTCCAATCCCACACATTTCGGACCTCATCGACAGACTCTCACAAGCTAGCATATTTACAAAGCTTGACCTGAGGTGGGGTTTCAACAACATAAGGATTAGGGAGGGAGACGAGGAAAAAGCTGCCTTCATTATGCATCGCGGCCTCTTTGAATCCACAGTAATGTACTTCGGTTTCTGCAACGCTCCTAGTACCTTCCAGACAATAATGAATACAGTCCTGGAGGACCTGATTTGCACTGGAAAGGTAGTAATCTACCTAGACGACATCCTCATCTTTACGGATGATCTCGATGAACACCGATGACTAGTGAATGCAGTTCTACAGCGCCTCTGGGACAACAATTTGTATGCCAAACTGGAGAAATGCTTTTTTGAACAGTCCTCAATCAAGTATCTTGGAATGATTATCAGCAAGAACTCAATACAGATGGACCCTGCTAAAGTCGAAGGTGTCCTTGGCTGGCCAGCACCTACTAAGGTCAAACAAGTACAGGCCTTTTTAGGATTCACGAATTTCTACAGGCGATTCATAAAGGACTTTGCGAAACTCGCACAACCTTTAACGCTTCTCACCTGTAAGGACGTGCCTTGGCAATGGAAGGAAGAGCAAGACCAAGCCTTCAGTGCACTCAAAACGGCATTTACATCAGCCCCGATACTACAACTCCCCAATGACACTGCTCCATACTGTCTGGAAACTGATTCCTCAGACTATGCAACTGGGGCAGTACTCGAACAACTGGGAGAGGACAAGCTATGGCATCCAGTCACATACTATTCCAAATCACTCAATGAACATGAGCGAAACTACGAGATTTATGACAAAGAGATGCTTGCAATCATTCAGGCACTCGAAGAATACCAGCACTACCTAGAAGGACACCCAGAACCCATTGAGATTTGGTCAGATCATCTCAACCTTACATACTTCTGCCAAGCACAGAAGGTATCCTGGCGCCAAGCGCGCTGGGCATTATTCCTCACACGATTCAATTTTACACTTTGTCACTGACCTGGAAAGACAATGCTACATGCCAATCCTCTGTCCAGGAGGCCAGACCATGAGAGGGGGGTAGACAGCGACAATTCGAATCAAATGCTGCTAAAACCCAAATTTTTCGCTATCAATGCGATTCGACCCGCTCACGCATCTGAAGTTGATGATGCACAACTACTGGAAAGGATCAAGAAGGCACTCACAGATGACATGATGACCAAGAATTATCGTGCACTTTTGACTACCGGACAGCGCGAATTTGGGAAAAATCTCGCAGAATGGAACTTCGAGCACGGACTGCTGCTCCATCGCGAAAAGGTTTATGTCCCCAAAGATCAACAGCTACGCCTCGACCTGATAAAGCTCTATCACGACACATTACCAGCCAGACACCCAGGCAGGTTCAAGACATTGGAGCTCATCACTCAGAACTATTGGTGGCCAGGAATGTCTGTAATGGTTAAACAATACGTACAAGGTTGCGATAGTTGTCAACGCAACAAGTACTCAAGGGAAAAACCATACGGACTACTACAGCCCAATGATGTACCAGGAGGACCATGGGAGATCATCATGGTCAATCTTATCACTCAACTTCCTCCAGCCATGGACTTTAGGGGAGAAAAGAAGACAGCAATACTTGTCGTCACGGACAAACTCACGAAGCAGGCGCACTTCTATGCAACAGATGATACAGTAACGTCATCGCAAGTCACCAACGTATTCTATAATGAAGTCTTCAAACTCCACAGATTATCGCACCAGATTATCTCAGATAGAGGTACCCAGTTCACGAGTAAACTATTCCAGGAGTTTTGCCAGAAGCTCAGTATAAAGTCTACAATGTCCACAGCATATCACCCCCAAACAGACAGTCAGACGGAAAGGGTTAACCAGGTGTTGGAACAGTACCTTCGCATGTACTGCAACCACAGACAAAATGACTGGGTCTACTATCTGCCAATGGCAGAATTTTCATACAATAACCAGACCCATGAGTCCACCGCACTTTCCCCATTCTTTGTCGAATACAGCTGACATCCAAAAATGGCACCAGACGTACATGAATCAATACATCATCCTTCATTGGAACACCTATTTGCCCACCGATCTGAGGCACAAGAACAGGCGAAGGCAGCATTGAAAGTTTCAGCCTCACAGATGAAGTGGTACTTCGACGAGAAAAAGGGAGAAGTTCCATTCAAAGTCGGAGACCTAGTACTACTCAAAGGAAAAGATCTCAGAGTAAAAGTCAAATTCACGAAGTTAGGCACACAAAACTTCAGACCATACAAAGTACTTTAAACGCTAGGCCCAGTCACGTTCAGACTAGAGCTGCTCAAGCAAATGAAGGTCCATCCAGTCTTCCATGCTAGCAAGTTGATTATGTACCATCAAGACACGGTTGCAAACTGCAAATCCCCACAACCTCCAGCCATCGAAATTGAAGAAGAACCAGAATTTGAAGTCGAAGAAATCTTAGACTCAAAGGTCGTAAGGGGAAGGGTTCAGTATCTCGTCAAATGGAAAGGCTATGACCATTTCGATGACACATGGGAACCCCGAACAAATCTTACCAATGCCAACGAGTTACTTCAAGAATTCCATCAACAACACCCAGATGCTCCGAAAGCACCAATCAGGGTTGTCACGTATGGCGGAAAATGCTTCGAATTATCCTCGTATGAATTAGCCCCAAAGTCCACACATAGGATAAGTCTAACAGATCAAGATGACGACGACTACTTTGTCTACCACAGGATGACAAAAAATGCCAAAGCTCCCACCAGGGGGTCCGAGAACGTGGCAGGATGAGACATCTATGCCGCCGAAACTCATACAATCCTCCCCTATTCACGAACAGTAGTAGGAACTGGAATTGCAATTGAACCTCCAGTTGGCACATATACTAGAATTGCCCCACGAAGTGGCCTTTCTGCGTGATGAAGCATTGATATCGGAGCTGGCGTCGTCGATCCAGATTACACTGGAGAACTTAAAGTCATCATGATCAACCATTTGAACTACCCTTTCAATGTTGCCGTTGGCGATCGAATTGCTCAGATAATATTTGAAGCGTATGTCGAAGGCATATCAGTTGACAACAAGGGACCATTACGGGACAGACATGCATGAGGGGATAAAGGTTTTGGCTCTACGGGATGATGAGCCTTGAGAGGGGGGTAGTGTCACAGATTTTCACCACGAAGTCTGCACGTGACTTTTCTCATGCCATAGATTACGTGCTTCACCAATATCCCATGCCACTCAGCCACAGACGTGACGCGTAGAGATCAGGTGATAGTTTACATCACATGTTATGGTCCAGATCCGTGGATGATATGGTCGGACCTGTCTACTCCAGGATACAATAGAGGCACCCATTTGGGAACAAAGGGAACAAGGACTATTGTTAGGCATTGGCCTTCCACTTTCTATTAGTTTAGCCAGAAGCCCAGATAGACACGATGTTCACATCGGAGAACAAAGGGAATCCAAGATAGGCACGATGCTCACACAGCAGCCATCGATCTTCCCACTTATTGTTCTACATCTGGA